TTGCCTTATACTGTTTTGTACGAGACAATACATCCTGAACGAATGCTACTAGCAACTGAAAACTGTTTTCGTTCATAGCTTGGAAACTTAATCCAGTAGGAGAGACAGGAACATTTAAGAAAGAATGATTCATCTGAGAGAGTCCAAAGCGTACCCACCTTAAATTTACATTGTTGTCTATATTAGATGTAAAAGTAGTACCGTGTGTATGAGGCACTGCAATGTCACTGATGAAACTCCTTCTCCAAATCTCTCTAAATGGTTAGAGGGAAAACCCCTTTTTTCTCTTCCTTCTCACTGATCGATGAAAACCAGGGTGGAGATGATAAAAGAATTTTTCAGAAGCTGCCTGTGTGACTTGATTTTCTTTTATAAGGAAGAATGGTCACTATATCTCCTCAGCGAGGTGGTTGGTTAGAGAAGTTTAGGTTGTATCACCTTAAAGGTCTAAAAACATTGTTCCTTAGATGGAGTTACTGCTTAAATGATTGTCACAATCAGTGCCTCAAACATTAAGATAATTTCCACATATGTGCCTCTTTTGGGCACTGCAAAAAATATTGCTTCTAAGTCCAGAAAAGAACAAGATTTCTCTCAGCTACCTTTACTATTCTTGATCCATTTCTAGACCACTAAGCCAAATGAAAGTCAGCATGCTGCTGGTTCACATATGCTTTCTTCTTTCCAATCCCTGGCCCTGGGCTTGCTGGTAGGGAAGGATAAGGCTAATAAAGGTCTGAGTTAGTAGTTGTCAGAAGGTGCTGAAGGCTTTAAGTCCTGCGAAGAACCCTTCTAAGATTTTTCTAAATTACTCCCTTATTTGCTGGTATTAATTCTTCTAATTTTATAGGGTTTCCATACCTGGGTATCTCTGGGAACCTAACAAAAAAAACATAACTGGAAGAAAGGCTCCATGGCCCAATAAATTCCAGAGGGAAACTTCCTTTACATACATGGACCTAGAATTGTCCAAGCTTTGTCTTGGTGTAGTGGCTTGTGCTGGTTGAAGAAATGAGATAAGTTACACAGCCCCAGGTATGAAGGAGTATGCTACTCAAAACCAGAACAAAACAACCTACCGTGAAGGCCGCTATGCTGCACTTTGATGTTCCCTGTGCTCCTGCTGCCTTTCGAGTTTTTCTTCTTGTCCATTTCTTCGCCTGAATTCAGTTCTCAATGAAAAAAGGAAATTTGATTTTGCCGCTGTGGCAGAACATGTTGCTGCTATTTACTTTGTACTCATTAGTTTTTTAACTCCCCCTGCTTTTCACAACAGGTTACAAACACTACTCACTCCGTGATCTGTTGACATCAACAATTGCATCAATGCATGGAGAGAACTAAACAAAAGGCAGACAGTACCTTGCAAAACATGGAGTAGGAGAATCAATCTTTTCCAAAGGCAGGCCCAAAACCAAGACAGTTTTGAGCCTCTAAAAAGGAATTACAATTGAAGATTTAAAACTCCCATAAAAGGTAGCAGGTGTAACCTTTTAATGGCCATGTTAGGATTTTTATATTCATTGTAGTTAAAATAATTTCCCATCTAATAAGCGGAATTAATTAGTGTGGTGCAGTCGCTGACCAGTGTCTGGGTTGAGGATTTAGTGCAGTTATTAAATAACCGATGTTTTTGAATACTGCAAGGTCTGGAAATGATGGTACACAACAATTTGTTTAATAGAAATAAAATATGGGATGGATACGACTTATACATTTTAATTTAACCACTATCTGACCTTGACTTGCAGGGTATCCAAATGGCTCGGACCCACGAACTAAAACCCTATATTATATTCATCAAGCCACCCAGTATGAGCTGCATGAGACAGTCTCGGAAAAACGCCAGGATCATTACAGACTATTATGTGAACATGAAATTCAAGGTGAGTTTTAGAGAATGAAGGAGGTGCAACAGTGATTGTTCAGTCAGAACCTGCCACATTCCTATATTGTATTAATGTTTTAAAGGACCCTTGTGTCTTTGGTCTGAAATAAATCAGATCTGAGGACATTCAGTACATGTTGCGAAGCCGGTCTCTCTTTTCCTGGTGTTTTGGAGTGGAAGTGGAGTACAGAGGGCTGGAGGTTGGGATATGTGGCTAGAGTGGGATTCTTTGGAGGAAGTCTGCTTTCTGTATTTACATTTGCATTATTTGGTTTGTTTTTGTAGTATATAGCCAAGGTGCCTAGATCTGTGGGTAGGCACTTCCATGTTTAAATTGAAATATGTGGAACCCTTTTCCCTCAGTGCTGTCATAGTCCCTTTTCCTATAGACATCAGCTATTAATACTTCAAACAAAAGCACAGTGGTGGTGGTCTGCATGTGATGCATTCCTACCTATATTACAGTAAAATTATAGATGCCTTACTATGTCTAGACACTTAAGAAAAATTAAATGAGATTAAAAAATAGAATGTCACACTTGTTTCTAGAACTTTTAATCTTCAGTTTGACCTTTATTATCTAGCACAGTATGTTTTAAAAGTTGTCCTTCATTTTGTCTGTGGGGGGTGATCATAATTACATAGCTAAAAACATGGGATTTGGGGAAATATTGCTGACAAACTGAAATACAGATTAGGAACATAGGTGTGGCAAAACTGATCAGACCTCTGGTCTATCACATCTGGATTCTGCCTGTAGCATTAGCCAGTACAGTGATACTTCAGAGGCAGATAACAGCATCCTCACAGCATCTAGGCAACTGTGCAATGCAGCACATGGGGGATAAAGGAAGACTTCTTGTGAACCATAAAAGCAATCAGTCGTGCTCCAAAGGTTTAGAATTGATTATTGTTGTCATGGCATGCCTATCTTAGAGTTGTTATGGGTTATAAATCAGAATAATTTCCACTTGTGTTAATAATTACAGACAGGGACAATCCTCAGCTGATGTAAATTGTCACAGCTCCATTGAAGTCACTAGAACTATCCCAATTTACACTAGCTGAGGATCTGGCCTATGGTGTGGCTTTCCAACTGGTCCCTACCCTGAAAAGACATGCAAAATAACTGATCCTGGAAGTTCTGTGGAATTTGCAATGACTTCAGTCAGCGCTTCTGCTTGCAGCTGGTTTGCAGAATTGAGTTCCACTGAAAAAAATTACATGCAAGAACTCTCTATTCTCAAACGAATATCATGTGATCATATTTTAATACAGGGGAGCTTATTCCAAGAAGCATGAGGTTTATAATGGGACACGCATGCAAATAGTTTGGCGTTGACATACAGTAACTGAGTTTTCTGAAGGGATGCCTGCACCACTTTCAGTGGGAACCAGGGCAGACTAGGTCTTTATTATAATAATATTACTTGGTATTTCTATGCCAACTTTTATCTGAGGATCTCAGTGTTTTACAAACATCTGTGAATTAACCCTCACGATCTCTCTGGGAGGTAAGGAAGTAGTAGTATCATTATTTTATAAATTGGGAAACTTAAGCATAGACAGGCTCAGTGTCTTGCCCAAGGTCACATACTGAGTGAATGGCAGAGCTGGGAAGAGAAATCAAATCTCTTGACTCCCAGTTCTGTCTTCTAGCCAACCAACCTCCAGTTCCTCTTTGGAAGGATAGAAAGTGAAAACTTGGATAAACCTATTTCCCATCCAAAAGTGTCCCACATGAAACTATAATGTTTTATAGGTCTGTACTATCTCTTACAGGAGGAAGACTTGCAGGAGATGGAGGATTGTGCTAAGAAAATGGAAGCTCAGTTTGGTCAGTTCTTTGATCAAGTGATTGTAAATGACAGCTTACAAGAGGCCTGTGTGCAGCTGCTGTCTGCAGTCCATCAGGCACAAGATGAGCCCCAGTGGGTCCCTGCTACATGGATATGTTCAGACACTCAGCCATAATTCTGAGAAGCAGGCAGCTTCCCAAAGATGATACCTTATGTTTTACCTCAAGAATAATCTTGTCAGAATTGTAAGAATATATCTGTGTGGAGAGATTTTGCAGGGGGATTAGGAAAAAAACTAAATAAGATAATCATACTGTCTTCATTGTAGTTCTTACAGCAACATGTGATGCTTAACATCAATTTTGTACCAAAAAACTGCTGTAGTCTCTCAGAATTACAAAAATAAAAGATCTGTTTTCTTGCATGTACTTGTGTGGTCTAGTCATACCTGGGTTAAAGAAAAAGTGCTTCCCATACCTCCTTTTTGTTAGAGGCTTCTTGATTTTTATGATGCTTGTGTATTCCCAAAGAAAAACTATGGGGGAATTATCTCAAGATGTAACAAGTCTGGAATACGCTTAGTAGGTTGGCTTGATGCTGCAGGGGAGAGTGCTTTATAAATGTATTATTCTGCTGCTTGCTTCTGTCTCAAACAAGTTTCTTAGCTGATATTTCTTTTTAAATTAGAGATACAGGTTTAATGCTATTCACAACACAAATTACTCGAGAACTCACATTCACGTGTATAATAAAATTGACTTTATTTTAATTTTTTTTACAGCTATCGGATGCTGACATATCAGCTTTGTAAAGACACATGACTAAATGTAATGATGATCTAGTCCATAGCAGGTTAACCCAGGCAATTTACAAGAGCAGGTTTACCAGTCTAGAAGCAGGAGCAGGTTAAGGGCCTGATACTGCAAATGCTTATTCACATGACTAGTCTAATTGAAGTCAAATCAGTGAAGTTACTCATGTGCCTAAGTGTAAGAGAGCATCCTTGGGTTCTGAGTCCTTTGGTTACAAGGGTTCCCAAACACAGCCGTAAATAAGAATGGGAGATGATGTGCCCGATTGATTGATGGCAGCACCTTGGTTCTGGCCCAGGATTTAGAAATGAGATGCATCATCACAGGAAGGAAAGCTGCTGGTAACTCTAACTCCTGACTCCCTTTGGTGCATCTTGGCTTATACTAGTAATCTACTGTTGTCCAGTAGAAGCAAATGTGTATTTATGATGCCTGATAATGACAGGTAGGGGTGTGTGTGTGTGTGTGTGTGTGTGTAAAATATACTAAAGAATAATGGTATCTTTAGAATTGCAAGGTCAGTTGGATAAACTGGTAAAACTTCCTTTTCCTTCGTCATTTTTAATTCATTTAAACTAGAACAATTAGAGGGTTAAAGCATTTAGCAAAAAAGTTTTATTTCCAAAGCTAGGGGAAGCAAGAGTGCAGAGCTCAGTGTCCAATGCCTTATGCACCTGAGTTTTTTTTACTGTAGGTGTTGCACCAGTCATTCACCATTACAGGAAATAGCCTTAACTTTTGCTTTACTTATGTGTGAGGGTTTCTTAAGTCTAATAGAAAAGATTCTGGGTTTTCCCTTAGTACAACTCTTACACCTACTGACTACTCCAGCTAAAAATTACAATACACATTAAACCCAGGTAATACACTTTCAGTTGAATGCACTTTTAGAGAGTGGTATCTTATACTAGCATGTGCCAATACATCACTACTCTGGGTGAGTGTGTAAAGTACACATCAAGACAATGTAAAGGAATAGAACTGGAAGGAACCTTTTCAGCCCTACTACCAGCAAACTGACAAGAACCTTGTGATGGTTTATCTCTTTCTCTAAAGCACTAAGCAGTGTTCATGTGTAGGTGTGTTTCCTCACAATCTGTTCCTTTGATCACAGGGCATCTTGGGCAGTGGTGTATGTGGTCTTCCTGTCTTTTCTACATTTGTTTTCCTTTAAGAGCTTTTAAAATGCAATCTTTGCTCTCTCATAATTGCCAGTCCAGGCTGTTTAAATAAATAATAATAAAAAAAACCCCTGAACATTAAGTGGTGATATTAAAAGCATATTTTAATGAAATAGTAGAGTTGGAAAATAGTTGTTGGATTTGACAAGCCACACAGCTTTTTCACACCATCCTGGTGGCTGCTGTACTTTGCCCTTTGAGAGTATATGTGATTCAGTCATTGATCTGAGAGTCTAGTTTAGATAGTGGGAGTTCTGTTTAGATTTTTCTTAGAATTGTGCAAATCTATATTTTTTGTTTTTCTTAGTCTGGATTCCTCTTGCTGGTTCCATTTTTTCTGTAATATTTATTTCTGTACTTACATTATTTCCTCCCTATAAGACCCTGAGTACACAACCCCCCATTTTCCCTTCTGCTTCTTCCTGTCCAGGACTAGAGGAATCTTGAATTGGAGCTAACTCGATTGGCTCCCATTTTGGAGCAAAGGCTCCAAGTAGGGCCATGCAAAGTTCTATTTTAGGGCCCTGCAGTTCATCATTGTGTTCTGCTTGAGGGTTCTCTTCTCCACACCCCGTTTGTCCAGTTTAAAGAAAACATTTCAAGATCCACTTTAAACTGAGGTTACTTTCAGCAGCAGGGGCCTCAGCGTGAGAGAGTCCCCCCCAGATCGAGATGCTCCAGAACAGGTTGCAGATCGCTGCCTCGGGGGGCGCAGGTGCTGCTGGGGTACCCCAGCCGGGGCGGGGGCCTCACTGCAGATCCCGCTTGTAAGAGGAGGGGGCTGTCCTCTAGGGCCTCTTAACGCCTACAGTGAAACAAGTGCCTAAGAGGGGAGCCGGGTAGGGGCGATGGCTCCGCGACCAAGCAGGGTGGGGGCCTCCTCTCGCGCCCGGGGTCTTGGGGGGGGGCTTACAGGAAAACTGAGCCTGGCGCTGGGGCTCTCGCACAAACCCCGCCTAGCGGCGGGGCCCCGAGCTGGAGGGGGCTGCAGCTGCTACACCAGCCCGCCCCGCGAGCTCGCCAGGTCCCGCGCCTCCCTTGGGCAGGGGGCCGCAGCCCATGTACACACCACAGCCCCCGCCTTGGGCAGAGGGAATCAGCAGCCGCGGGCTCCGGCCGGGCTGGGGGGTGTCCCTGCTGCTGGGGGGGAGGGGGCAGGCCCCACCTCGCTGTGCAGCCTGGGCCCAGGCGGGGTTGGGGGGCGCGTTAACCTCCAGGCCCGCAGCCCGCTAGCTGAGCCCCTGGTGCCGCCCGGAAATCCCTGCCCGGCAGCCCCCCGCCCCTTCCCCCGCGTCTCCAGCGTCTTGGCGACGGGCGCGGCGGGCTGTGCGGGCGGAGCGCGGCATGGAGACCCCGCAGCAGGGACCCCGCCAGGTGAGGGGCCTGCGCCGGCTCCCTCGTTGGGCTGCGGGCGGCGGTATGGGAGGGGCAGGTTCCCGCAGGGAGGGGAGGGGGCGTCTGTGGCCGGCTCTCTTGTGGGGGGAATGTGTTGGGGGTTGCAGGTGGGGAGAGGCTCCCTCATGGGGGCTGTGTGTAGGT